AACCCCCCCCCGGGGGCAGAGGAGCAGGGAAACCACGGATTGATGTCACAGCGAGGTTTCCAGGCAGGAGGAACGCCTGACGTAGAAAGGCTGCCCACTGTGCCCCTCCGGCCGGTGCACGATGAGCACGGGGAAGAAGCGGGCATCGTGGTAGGTGGGGGGGTTCTCATTGATGGCCAGCTGGCTGGAGTAGGAGCAGCACTGCTCGTCCTGGCAGCCCCGGTCAGCGATGCTGCTGCTGCGGCTCCTCCACCGTGGACGCGGCACAGGGAGAAGCGGCTGGTGTTGAGGGAGAGGCGGGAGTTGCAGCTATGGAAAGCGTGGCGCGAGAAGATGGAGGAGGTGCTGGAGGCGCGGTTGCAGCGGTCGCAGCCGTGGGCTGTTTGGCCGTACCGGCACACCGCGTAGGACGGGGAATTGGCCAGGTCCATGAGCATGGCCTCCGAGTAGCTGGGGATCAGCTGCCGGTTGGTGCAGATGTGCCACTCCAGCTCCGTGCTGTCCTGCGTGGTGTCGCGGGGCATGCGGTACCGGTACAAGGGCTCGTCCACCGCCGTGGGTGCCGTGTACTCCAGGCCCAGCAGTTTCTCCACGTGATAGTGGACGTAAGCAGTCCGATACTCTATGAGTACCCTGAGCGGCCACGAGATCATGAGGATAGCTGCCACCCAGAAGGCATAGTGGGACACATACCATGGGAGGTGATCCGGGTCCCCGTAAGCCATCATAAGCTCTTTGAAGTCCACGTTTTTGAGCTGCATGCCTTCCCTCACCTCCATGTAGTCATCCAGACCCTCAATCTCTGTGAAGAAGTGAGCCCTCTGAGTCAGGTAAGAGTTCTCAGACTCAATGTTGGCAAAGCTGAAGCACTTGGTGAACCTCAGCTTGGTGGCTGTGTAGCTCTCCAGGCCCAGGAGCTCCTTGGAGATGTCCTTGTATCCACAGTGAGAGTAGTCAAACTCAGCTTCAGCCACATGGGTGTTGACCCTCTCGTGGTAGACCTGTGTGGTGGTGTAGGCATCACCATTGCGGTACCGGGTCACCTGCCGGGTTCGCCGCACAAAGTGGTAGCTGATGGCCTTCCACCAGATGCATGGAGTGGCTTGCTGCATGCGGTTGATGCATTCATAGACACTGTCCACATCTGCCTTGTACTGCAGCTCTCTCTTGACGTGGCAGTGCCAGCACTCTACCAGGTACACCACGTACAGCATAGAGAGGAAGGCCAGTGGGATATAGACGTAGCCGTCCGAGCACGGGCTGTCATGGTAGATCATGGACTTGCCCTTGAAGGAGCTATCAAAGCTGAGCTTGGTGACCCGAGCCAGCTGACACCAGGCCACTGCACCCAGGCAGCCGTACATGAGGATGGAGAGGAGGAGACATTTCCAGTGGGACTCCCGGCACATGCAGGCGCTCAGGGACTGCTTCACGGGGCGTTGCTTCAGTCACACCACCGGGGAGGGGAAGAGAAAGACAAAGAGAGAGGGAGGAACCTGTCAGTCACGCTGCTTTTCACAGCGCACACAATGAGTGCTGCCTTCAAGCCTGCGCCTGGCTTTGCTCTCGGCTGCCTGAGGACTGGGACACCACCCTGCTTAATATAAACGTGAATATGAACAGAAACACCATTGCAGAGACTGAGGTCTCTGAACAAAACTTCTTCCTTGCTTCCTCCCGGCTCTGGGAAGCTCTTTGCTCAGCAGTTACTTGTGCGTCTGCACCCCAGTTGGATGGAGCCCTCTGGAGGGGGTGAGTTAAGTCTCCATCTTTCTCCCTGAGTGGACTCAGCATCATTCATCCACCCCACCATCTTCCAAGGCCAAAAGGGCTTCCCACTACATGCCCAGCTGAAAGCATGGGGCTGTGGGCTTGCCCCTTTGTGAGTGCCCAGCGCCTGGGTTCTCACCTGGCGAGGCTCAGGAGCAGCATCCGCTGCAGGGCTGCAGCCCCACAGGTCGTGCCAGCGCAGAAAGACCAGCACTTAGTGGAGCTGCTGCCTGACTCAGAGCTGACTCACACCCAACCCTGAAACCTACCAAGTGGTCAACACCGTTTCTTGGAGGTCAGCCATCAGGAAAATTACTCGATTCAAGCACATTGACCAAAAAGATTGTCAGGATTACAGCGGGGTGCAGCATGGCTCCAGGCTGGTAGGAGACTTAGCTCTGACCTAAAATACCTGAAAGCTTAAGCACTGGAGTTAAAGGTGTATGCATGGGTATTTAGAACACAGCACATCCCTCTGTTTCAAGTGCCTGAAGTTGGGCTGGGAGCAAAGCCAGAGCTCACACTCGTACTCCCGCTGCGTCCCCTGGGGTGGCACGATCGCAGCCCTCACCCCAGCCGTGGTGCAGGGAATCAGCTGCATTGTCAGGCTATGTTGGGCTATAATAAAAAATGCCAAATTGAGCCAAGCAGTTAACGGAGACAGAGCTGTGTCCCTGCAAAGAGCAGCACCAGAGTGAGTTACACTATCGGCGGGCAGCCAGCAGAAAGTACATGAAACAGACCCCCCCTGCTCTAAAAGGTGATATGGAGGGCTGTCTGCATCTCTCTTCTTACTGCCATCCTCTACCTCTCCCCTAACTCCAAGGAAATGACAGTGGGAAAGCAGATACACACTGATTTTCATGCATCATCATGCCCTCTGCTGAGCCTGATTTCATGCAAAAATAGAAACACACAGTTACTCCTTCTCCCAAGGGGCCACCTCTAATGCATCAAACTGCTCTGTAGATGCCAACAGATGTTAGGTTTGGGAAATGTCATCTCTTTCTTTCTCCATGGATAAAGTTCTCCCCTAGTACAGCTTATCTCAGACCCACAGCAGTTAGGAATCAGTAAGTAATCTTGAACCAGCAGGGAATTTAAGGAGCAGCATCCTATGACTCAGGAAATAATAGCACAGCACCACTAGAAAGAAGAGTTTACTGTCTTCTCAATGAGATGGAAGTACTGGCATCTAACCTTGCGTGGCTATAAGTCAGATTTAATACTGCTTTCTTTTTATTCCTGGGACAGGGAACCACTTCTAAGTAAGACAGAGGGGTTTATGGCTTGCTGTGACCACTGCCAAACTCTGGGATTTGGTTTTGATTTCATAGCTTCTAATTTGACACTGAGTAAGTACAGAGTCATTTTTCTGATTTAGGGAGCTACACCAGCATGCATCTGCAGCAACTAAGGGCAGAACCTGGCCCCTGATTCTTCCTGATGCATCCAGAAGGAATCTGGAAAGAACTTCTATTCTTATCCCAAACTTTTTGCATGTGTGTATGTGTCAGAATAAAGAATAATTATTCTGGGCTGTATTCTCTTTACAGTGGCCAAAATGGGTCTAGAGAAGCTGAGGAGGTTGTAAAGGCCATGCTACATAACTTTTCTGTAGGTGGGGCAGTGAAAAGATCTTAGTATGGGTAAGAATAAGACTGTTTTCCTCAGCCTTTTGCAGGAAACCTTGAGGAAACCCACAGAGTGGCTTCAGGCAGTCCCCAAATCAGCTCAAAAATAGTTATGGGAGCTTTTGGGAGTGTCCTGGTTTTGGCTGGGATGGAGTTACTTTTCTTCCTAGTAGCCAGTGCCGTGCTGTGTTTTGGCTTTAGTCTGAGAGCAATGCTGATAACACACTGGTGGTTTAGTTGTTGTTCAGTAGCACTTTGATCAAAGACTTTTCAGTCTCTCGTGCTCTGGCACTGAGGAAAGGCACAAGATGCTGGGAGGGAGCAGGGACAGGACACTTGACCCAAACTAGCCAAAAGGACAGTCCATACCACAGAACATCATGCTCAGTGTGTAAACTGGGGAGAGTTGGCCGGGAGCCACCAATGCCTGCTGAGCATCAGTCAGCGGGTGGTGAGTGGTTGTATTGTGCACCACTTAGGTTTCCTGAATTGTATTCCTCTTCCTCTCTTTTTCCTATTATTATTATTGATATTATTATATGTCAGTTTATTTCAGTTATTAAACTGTTCTTATCCCAACCCTTGGGCTTTACCTTCTTCCAGACCTCCTCCCCATCCCACCAGGGTAGTGGTGGGGAAGAGTGGGCGAATGGCTGTGTGGTACTTAGTTGCCAGCTGGGGTTAAACCATGACAGGGGGTGAACCCCTGAGTCTACATGCAGTCACCAAGAGTTTCATCTTTGAAACTCTTGTCAAGCACCCAACACTCTGTCCCATTGTGGTTACTGCCCCAATATGTAGGCTTCTGCCCCAGCCATACACTGGACTCCAGGTCAGATCACCAGGCTCATGGGAACTCCACTGGCAATCACTGTCTTCTATTCTTTTCCTTTACTTGACATGGAACTGGAGTTTTAAAGAGCTATAGTAATACACTGCAATGAAGAATTGCAAACCTCTGCCCTTCTTTCCTCCTGAATGTTTTCTGAGGTGAAGAAAACTCTAAAAATGAACATCTCCCTACTCCAGTCACTGGTACTGTGCAGAAGAAAATAACTGGGCAATATTCTAACACAGGAACTGAAGTTCACACTCAGGTTTCCACAGGTACCTCTCAGGTAAAATTGCATATGGTTTATACTGTGAAGAATGCCTGTGGACCAAGGAACATGTGCCCAGCAGTCAGTTTTAGTGTGAGTGTTTCAGTACTCCACGCAGCTCCAGGAACCCCAATCTTTTCCACGACTTGTTTGAAGCACTGGCAGCCTGGCCCTGGGCACAGCCAAATGAGAGGCTGTCCCATGCCAGTTAAAGCACTATTTGCCAGAGGCACTGTAATGCCCACCTTCCCTTTATCTCACTTCCCTTGACTAACAGCTTCTCTGCAGCTCTGTGGTCCAACTTGCAACCCACAGGTTGGCTTCTGCCCAAGGGGTGATTCAACCAGCCCTACTGGTTAGGGCTATCAGTGGCCATATCTGAGTGGGCAAATGCCTCCTAATGTGATTAGCTCCATGAAATGCCAACTTCCCTTTGGGGAAGAGATGGCTCTGGTCTCACCAGTGCTGGAGAAGCACCAGGCTGGGCTGGCAGCAGCTCAGGGACTTGCAGGTACAAGATGATATTTCTGTATGCATCCTCTGGGCTCTCTTCAAAAATGATCTTCAACCCACTGCACTGCGAGGGCTGGATCAGCCCAAGCCAGGTTACCTCCACTATTTGCACTGAAGCCTGTAAAAAAGGCACTTTCTTTGCCTCTTGCATTATTGAAGCCATGCAGCCATAGAGCCCACTGCCTCATTGTCTGATTCACACACCTACCAGTCCAAAAAAACATGTACAAACCCCTTTGGGACAACCATGATTCTTTTCTCCTGGCTCTTCTCACCCACCGTCTCATACCCTCCTTTGTTTATAAGCAAATCCCACTCTCCGCAGGTCCTTGGTTATAAAAGGATCTCTCCTCTAGCATCTACCCCCACAGCTGTTCCTAGGGGGAACTTCTGTATTCAGAAGTTCTGAATACATCCATCTGGCCTATACCCCCTTATGGGACAACCATGATTCTTTTCTCCTGGCTCTTCTCACCCACCGTCTCATACCCTCCTTTGTTTATAAGCAAATCCCACTCTCCGCAGGTCCTTGGTTATAAAAGGATCTCTCCTCTAGCATCTACCCCCACAGCTGTTCCTAGGGGGAACTTCTGTATTCAGAAGTTCTGAATACATCCATCTGGCCTATACCCCCTTATTTCTCAAAAAAAAGATAATTATCCAACACAATTGTACTATTAGAAACACTATTAGAGTGTTTGTAAGAAAGACATGAAATGGAACATAATTACAATAGAAGTATCACAGAGTCGACAATCTAATAAAAAGTTGTATCTTTCCATCTCTCTCTGCATAACAAATTCATTAATATGTTAAAGCACTGCTCCCAGACTTTATTAATTAACATACCACCTCCTTGCAAGCACAATGCTTGTGGTGCTACATGGAATTTTCTCCTTTCTGTGCACAGTGTTTCGGATTGAAACAGGGCAAGCTTGTATTTCTGGATGAGTACATTAAGTGCTTGAGGAAACTAATAATTTCCATGATAACTTGGGCCAGCCAGCAAACGGGAGTTGCGTCCTTTCAGGAATGCTGTGGGATCTGTGTTGTTTTTGTGTGGAACCAACGCACAACCCCCAAAAAATGTTAATAGAGAAACATAATTGAAGAAAGCAAAAACAGAGCCTGATAGAAAACCAGAGCCAAGCTGCCTGTCCCAGAATAGATGGAGGCTCAGTCACCAGGCACTTTGCCTGTGACCTAGGACTCATGGATTTGGGTCTCTAACCTAAATCAAGAGAGGTGTCCTTCCTCTCCTGCTTGTTGAGGGCTTTGCTGAGGGCTTTGCTTTGGGCTTTGCTTCCAGTGTTTAGTAGGAAACCTCCTCACAGAAGATTAAATGAACACAGGTTGCCCAGAGAAATTTTGGATGTCCGTCATTGGAACTATTCATGGTAAGGCTGGATGGGCCTTTGGGCGACC